TGCATCCGACGAATCTGGATTTCCCTTGGAGAAATCAGCAACTGCCAGAATACTAGCAACAATTTACTTACGAAGAATGCGTCTGGTATAAAGAAGATCTGGCCGACGGTCTTGACCTTTTCAGCAGATTTGCTAGACTTGCCGCCTTTTTTCTGCGTGCGGACGGTGAGACAAATGCATGAGAGCTGAAATTATGACGTACCTGGTATTTCGTTGCTCCTCCACGTCCTTTATGCTCTTCACTAACTTTTTTGAAACCAGCGTTGGACTCCCGTCTCGCGTCCTCGTCCGCCACCGGTGCGGGATGACGAGCCTTGTCCATCTGGGGCTTAATCCGTGCCATGAGCTCTGCGATGGGTGAAGTCTTCGGCGCTTCTGCGGCAGGATGGAGACTTTCCCAGTGTTCGCAGTCCCTGCAGACTCGAGGTCCTGGTTGGGGCTCCTCTTGGGGTATGTAGCGTGGGCAGGGACATTCGGCGGTGCTGCTGCCATCAGCCTGCAAGTTTTTGTAGAGGCACATGGAGGTAAAAGCGAGAAAAAAATGGTGCGACGTTGCCGCTTTTATACCTGACTGGTTTATTGACATTTAAAATGTCAGGGACGAGGATACATATCGGAGATATTCGGTGGCTGTCTAGTGTATATTCTCAAATTACAATTCAGCTTCTACAAAAATTCGAGTCATTAAATCAAGAGCCTGTGCCCACAACAGCGCACGAGGCCACCAAATATCTAGCGGCAAGATCACGGATATCCTTTTCCCTCCCCGGCCAAGGTGAATGGATTCGCGAACGGGATACTGGCTTAGATCGAGGTCAAATCCTTCCGGAATAATATTTTGAGCCTTAACCGCTTCCAATGCCTCGAAAAACACCGCTTCCAGCTCCGGAGTAAAATGGCATCGCTATAATCTTGTGTGCCTCACTTCCGTATAACGGTCTTCACGCTCTTTACTTTACTATACTCTTTCAATCCGCTCGTATGGCTCTTTCGTAGTACTTAGATTCCTTCTAATACTTCTAATAAAAGACGTCAAGTGTCATTATATTTACTCACAAAAAGTATTGTTACTGGCTAACAAGTGGTGATCAATCTTTCGCCATGTGCCGACGCTCCTCACCACGGGTACGGGCTGAGGGCCGTCAGGCAAGAGAGATCGGCCGTGCTCTTGTACCGTCACGGGCAGGCCCCAGCCGACGCGAGCTGCTGCACAATTGGCGGCGCCTCGAAGCGATGGGCGGGGGCACGTCGGTCGGCGCGCACATCCCCGCTGCAGGCTGCACGCAATAGAAGGACCCCGATGCATCGCACGGTCAGGTCGAAGGAAGCGGCGGGTATCGGATAACACTGCATGGTACCGCGGCAGGGCCGACCTCCAATCTCGATGTGGCAACGGCAGTGGAGAACTACGTGCCCGGGTTATCGGCGACAGTCCGCGAGTTATTAGCTTCATGAAAATTCGAGGGCAAATGTGCATGCACGCACCGTTAGTTGGAGGAGTTATTAGAGGAGTGCCGAGATGTGGCTGGAGCAATGGCGAGCGTGGATCAGGAGAAATGGAGGACAGCACGGTGCTGTAGGCTTCCCACCTGATACAGATATCTTTTCCCGAGCTGAGTGCGTTGAGGTATGGTGCCCTCGAGCTCGGGAGCTCAGGTGTGTAGGCCGAGAGTCTGGCGGTCAACGTTCGAGTATGTGGTGATCGATCTGAGTCCGTGACCGAGAGGGAGCGGATGAGGAAGCAGAGCGCAGGTGCGGAGAAAAATCAGTATGTGGCACCCGGTGTTGTCCAACGTTCGCTGAACACCAAGAAGCAAGCGATTGGGGAGCATGATTCCAGCTTATATGCGATAATCCGTTGCCGAGGTGAAAACGATCAACATATGTATGCCTGATGACGCGTCCCTCTTGATCCCCAACCACCATGTCGACCGACCAGCGATGCGCCCGCCAATGCGGATGATGACTCACGCGATGAAGCCGCACACACCGTCGTCTAGGTGGGCCGGACGGGCTCGTTTGTGTGGGACCCGCCGTCGTTCACCGCTGTTGCGGGCGACTCTATTGAATTTCCCTTGTGCGTTCCTTCCTTGAGGATCCGTTGAGTGGGCAGTGGGCACTGACATTTGGCACAGCAACCCCAAGAACCACACGGTAACTACGCAGTTGTCCTTCGCCGCGCCCTGTGTCCCTCTCGGAGGCAGTGCCTCGCCTGGCTTGTAAGTCCCATTTTTATCTAATAGACAATTCACTGACTAGGCGCCAGCACACCCACCCGTATCCAATGTCTCCGAGTTGCTCGACACCTGGATGTTCACCGTCGCGGACGGCACCTCGCCCTTCTGGTTCCACTGCGAGCAAACGGTGCACTGTGGCAAGGCACATCCAAGGATGTTGGTATGTGTTCGCGGGTATGCGGGGAATTATGTAGTTAGTCGTAATGTAGTTGACATACACCACTTTACGATATGTAACAAAAAGACCCTCGCGCGCGCGCGTTTGGGGTCGCGCGCGCGCTGAAACCTGGCGCGCGCCTAAATTTATTATTTGTACAAACGAACCGTCATAAGCACTGCCACCTGTTCCGATCTTCGCCCATCGCGGGAGTGTTTGTTCTTGCTTCCGCCATCGGACACGTCGCCCATCTTTTTCTGCCACAACCAGCATTCAGCGACGATGGGCCTGTATTGGCTTCCTTCGGTGGCCACTGCTTATCATTCCTCTCCCTCCGGGCCCTCCCCTCCCCTCTTCCTCACCTTGCAGTCTCTTCTTTGGTTTCCTTGTCTGGTTCCTGTGTCCCCTCGAGACAAACGGACGGCAGAGCAAGCTTGGAATTGACCCGAGGAGCTACCAAGGAGCATCGGATCTGCGGCTGCAGGAGCTTCTTATGACGGTTCGTTTGTACAAATATTAATTTTGCGTGCGCGCGCGCGCATAAGTCACTACGTAAGGTACATGCATATTACTAAGCTAAACCCCGGCAAGCTAAACCCTGCTAAGTAAACCCCGGCCTGCTCCATGCAAGCGCTAGCGAAGGATCGGGAGCTGCAGTCTGCATCACCAAGCTATGTCAATGGCATCGAGATGTGGGGGATGCGGAGCTGGCAGCAACTTAGGCAACGAAGTAAAGCCGCACACCAGCCGCTGATGTGCGTCGAGAGCAATGTGGGCGGTGGGCGGTGAGGTGGGAGAGGATAAAAGATGGTGACGCGGCCATCGGCTAAGGGCCTGGCCGAAGCAAGAACAAACATTCCCACGATCGGAACAAGCGCTAAACAAGCGATCAGTGATCCGCACCTCTTCCCATCATCCTTTTTTCTCCGATCCCTTGCGTCTCCCCCGCCTGTCACCCGACCCTCCCGCCCTCGTGGCCGCTCTCAAGCTTCCAGACACATGCGGGCCTGACCTGCACCAGGGCCCCCGTTGCCTTTGTTGGATAGAGGCGATCACACTGGCAGGTAAGTTTTAACCTCGCTGGTCGAAGGAATCGGAAGGATTCCTCTGTCCTTTTCATCTGAGTAGGCTAAATGCGATCTGAGTCCTTTGACTAGCCCCGGGTCTGAGAATATCTGCCTCCCGGGCCTCTGACACCTTCAGAATTCATGTAAGTGACTTCTGACAGGGCGTGAATTTCAGGAATGCTTTCTTTTGATACCCCCAAGCTCGACGTAGAGGGCTTAGTAGGCATGTATTAGACAGGTATTAGATACCACTCGTGTGTAATCTTATGATGCTTATTATCTATACATACTCCCAACAGTCGCGCGCGCGCTAAATTACACGCGCGCGCGCAAATCTTTATTTGTACAAACGAACCGTCATACTTCTGAGGTAGATAAGGGTAGATAATAGTAGTAACGTTATGTATGTAGTGGTTTGTTCGCGCGCGCGCGCTGATGTCGTGCGCGCGCAAATTAATATTTGTACAAACGAACCGTCATACTGCATGCCGCACGCGCATGCGTAATGATTAGTAAGCAGCCTCGGCGACAAAGGGACAACGCACGGAGACCCGCGCTGGCCGCTACGATGGATGGTATAGAATTTCATGCGATGGGCTGGGGCGATCGCCGTTGTCAATTCCTTGCCGTCAACGGACGCATATTCAAATTCAACGCATGCTGGCCTGTATTTCATCAGCGAACTAATCCGCACAATAAATGAGGGCCTACAAAAAAGAAATCCCAAATTTTCCCCGTCCTCGGATTCGAGCCCACTTGACGCTGGGACTGTACCTACATTCATGCTTTCACCCTGCTGGCTGTGCCCAAGCTTTTATGAGTCGTTCTTCGTAGGGCCGAGCCGACGCCCGCGACATATGGCTGGGCGCTTTCCGGCTCCACAGCATCCGCATCTCTCTGGCAGGGGACAGCTATCGGCATCAGCAGCATTCTGCGCCGCGGGCCAATATCAATCCACGCGACTCTCTTCCATAAATTGAGTGAACTGAATGAGAACTCAGACGTGACGGGGTAGAAACATGAGTATAAAAATGGTATAAAAATACGAAAAACTCTCGATGAAAGAAAAACGGCCTAGCCTTGAGTCGAACTCCTGCCGAAAGAAACTACTTGCTCGCATATCTCTAGCAGGTGTGTTACCACTACACCACAACACCATTCCTTAGGTTTTCCACAAGGTGAATAAGTATGAGATTCTGAGTGAACCATAAAAAGGAAATTCGAAAGTTGCTATGGCCTTGAGTCTAACAATGCATTCCCATTGCAGTTTGAACAGAATAGACTAAATGACATGGGTGTGTTACCACTACACCACCAGGCTATTCTTATGTTCTCCCAGGGGTTGAATATATGTAGAATTCATCAATAAAAAAGACTGATTCAGAGCATGGCCTAGCCTCGAATCAAACAAGGAACTCCGCTGAATGCATTTGTCTTAAGCTCATTTCTAGCAGACGTGTTACTACACCACGAAACCATTCATTCACCAATGCCAGATTTCGCGACACTCCCCACGAAAAACAATTCCAAGACTTGTTATGGCCTAGCCTTGAATCAAACAAGGGGTTCCCATTTATCAAATGTGCCGTCGAATAGGGAGAATGGGTGTGCTACCACTACACTACTAAGCCACTCCCTTAGCTTCTCACAAGGTAAATAAGTATGAGATTCTGAGTCCCTCGCCACAAAAAAGTTACTATGACCTGGCCTTGAATCGAACAAGGAATTCCCACAAACATCAATTCTTCAAAGTATTATTGATGGGCGCGTAACCGCTACACCACCAGACCTTTCTTGTGTCCTCCCATGGGTTGAATACATGCAGAACTCATATGTAACTCTACCGGATAAATAAATAAAAAAGATGGGAATTCCAAGTAACAGCCTGGCCTTGATCTGAACAAGGAACTCCGCTGAAAACTGAAATACTTAATTATAATCTCTAAGAGGTATGTTACCACTACACAATCAGGCCACTCTTATATGCTCCCATGGGTTAAATAGATGGAGAATTCACTGGTAGGGAGAAAGAGGCTAAGAAAAAAAGAACTCGACTAGGTATGGCCTGGCCTTGACTCGAACAAGGGATTCCCACAAAGACAAATTTCCTCACATCCATTATTAATGGGCGTGTAACCCCTACACCACCAGGCCCTAAACCCTCCCTGGGGTTGAATACATACAGACTTCATGTGTAACTCTACCGGATAAATAAAATAAAAAGATGGGACTTGTAAATAATGGCCTGGCCTTGAATCGAACAAGGAACTCCGCTGAAAACTACAAAATCAGGATGTAATCCCTAGCAGGTGTGTTACCACTACGCCACCAGACCATCCCTGTGCCTCCCCTTGGGTTGAATACATCGAGAGTTCAATTATAGAAGGAAGAGAAAGAGAGGCTAAGGAAAAAGGAACTCGAGGAGGTATGATGAGTTCCTAGGAATTGAATACATGTAGAGCTTGATCATGGCGCGAGAAGTAAAACAACCAGCGTAAAAGCAAGGGCCTGGCCTTGAGTCGGACAAGGAACTCCTACACAACAATTGTAACGTGAACCTAAAACAAGTAGATGTGTAACCACTGCACCGCCAGGCTGTTCCTACAATGGGACGCGGAGGTGATAGATGCGGTTTCACGGGTCCGGGTGCGGGAAACATGGATAATGGATTCTGCTTGCCTAAATTCAATCTCATTTCATCGACCACGGAGACAGTCTGGGTGTATGACGAAGCCGGATACATATGGGGAGGACAGCGGGGCCCTTGAGTTCAATGCATTGACATTCACGACTCAAACAAACTCCGCCTCGGCCAGATCACGCCGCGGAGCCCGGCCGCCTGCAACATCGATTCAATCTCCACCGGCAACCGCCGCCGGCCTGCTGCTTCCAACCGTCATGTCGCTTTTTTCGCTTTGAAATGGTCCAGCCGCTGGCTATGTACTAGGAGTAGCTCGGCTCGGATTTCGGATGCCGTGCCTTCCTCTGTCTTCGGTGTACTATGGTCTCTCCGCTTCTTAACTTAGATTCGAAGCAGCTCGCTCGCCTGGCGGTCTTTCAGTTCGATACGTTTTAACCTCTGACCTTTTTGGCTCGGACTCCATCTCTGACCCTATCCTTTAATTCTCGTGTGGCTTGCTCCTCCTCCGACTGGACGCCCGGCTCTGATTATTCGCAAGGAAAGGGCCTGCCCTCTCCCGTTTTCCCACATGTTTCGCCTCGGATAATCAGAGACATCGAGCGCCCAACGAGGCTCACGCCTTCCGCCTGCCCACCAACAACACCGTCGCCGTCCCACACGCGGCGCCATCCTTCTCCTTCTCCGCCATATTCCGTCTCGTGCTCGGCTTCGGCGCACCTGCTCCCCGCAGCGAGCACCCCACGGACGCACGCCCGCACATGCACCCTATCCCCATCCCACCACGCCCCACCCCTTCATCGGCACGCCCATGCACGCCGAGGAGGGAAAGACGCGTGGCTGCGCATCATGTACGTCCCGAGCACGGGCGCCTGCGCCACCACCACCATTGCGCGCCCGTCCAACGAGAACGAGTATGCGCTGCGGTGCACATGTGCAGGCGGAGGATGCCAAGTAGGGCGTCGCTCATCGCTCGTCTTTTGCTGCTCGTCATCTCGCCCAAACCCGGACTGTGTATCCCGTCCATACTCCTCACCTACCTGAAATCTCCACCCCACACAGCTACCTACGTGCCCTGATAACCCGATCTCCGTACCATCCCCGTCTCCGTTTTCCGTACTCGTATCCGTGTTGAATATAGTCGCTCACTCAGCAGGGACTTGCCGGGGCGCTAGACATCGATGTCGTTGTCGCTGGTGGCTGGGGATCCAGAGTCGTGCGTTTCGCGGCGTGTATTGCCGGAGGCGCTTCCGTTCTGAGGAAAATGACCATGCTCGGCAGCCTGAATTTTTGTTTGGGGTAGAAAAAACTCTTGATCATGGAAATGGCTCGATCCGCCTTGATCCCTAGATAAATATATGAATGACAATTTGGCTCAGGCGCGCACTGCCATAGTATGCTGTAGAGTAATAGAGTCGATTGTAAGGGACAGAATATATCCCGCCCTTTCAATGTTACGGTTCGGACATGACACAACTTGAACGATACTTACTAGCGTTGAGAGCAATAGATGGAGGAGAGATGGCCCAAAGCAGCAATGATGTTGGGATTGGCCTGCGGAGGGGCGACGCTGCGGTGCGCCGTATGCGACATGCGTAGCGGGGCGACTGGAGGTGGTGGACTGGCGCTGGGGTCCCGTCGGATTAGAATATCATGGGAGGCCAAAAAGCTCGGTGGGTTCCCAGTCCGCTGGGAGCGCGAGTCAACTTCAGCGGGAGCCAGTGTTCTTGGGCTCTTTGCTGGGGTTCTCCGGTAGTAGCTGGAGAACTAGCGCCAGTCGATACGAATCAAAGCGGGTGGTGGTGGAGGGCCACTGGAGGCGAAAAGCCAAGAGAGCCGGGATTGCCGGATGGTCACGTGTCTCCAAGTTCAAGTTGAACCTTGCGAATGTCAAGTTGAAATCCAACGTGTCCTACGCGTCCTTGATACTACGGATAGAGTAAAAAGGCAGGGATACAAGGACCGAGGGGGGATCTAAATGTGGATGAGGATGAGGAAGAAAAAGAAATGTGCGGAAGATGAAGTGCCCTGACCTTGAGTCGAATAAGGGATTCCCATTGAACACTGGTTTATCGACCTAGAAGAATGGGTGTGCTATCACTACACCATCAGGTCATACTTTAAGCTCCCCCAAGAGATGAATAAGTGCTAGATTTTGCGAGATTCGCCGCAAAAAAATGTTTAGCCTCAGAATGATATGGCCTGGCCTTGAGTCAAACAAGGTACTCCTACTCAAATATCAGAGCATCCCTTGAATACAGAACAGTTGTGTTACCCCTAAACCACCAGGTCATTACTGGACGTGCAAATGAAGGTAGTACATGTAGTGATTTCATTGTACGCGGTTCCATTATCAGACAAGACTATCACACCAAATATTTAATCGAGGGAGGATGGGAACGAGCAGGACGGGGCTGGATGACGGAGTACTGGGATGAATGGAGACATGGAACACAACGATTTGGATGTGCTGTTTCAGCTTGACACTTGGTTCTGAGAAAGTAGCGCAGATTGCGCGCTGACTCGTAATGACGTGCCTATTCTTCACTTCAGAACGTAATACCCGCGAGACTTCGCCAGCATTCTACGCGAGGGGAAATCATTTGGTGTGGGGAATGGCGGGCCCGGGAGTTGAGAACGGGAACGTGAATGAGAAAGATTTATTTTAAATCATTTATGTTGAACTTTGGTTGAACTGGATCTATGTTATCTGTGAACCCTAAACCGTCGCAGGAGGCGCACGAAAGCGCTCCTGCAGCACAATAAAGCTGAGAACCGCCATAAGCATCCGCGCCCTCTGATCTATAGCCCCCTGCGCCGGGAACTCGGGCGAATCCAGATATCCCGCGAGGAGGTCGTTGATATACGGCCAGTCGAACAGCCCGAGCCGCTCGACGTTCGCCTGAGTGATGCGGTTCCTGAGGTGGATCTGAAGCGGCACGAAGCCGGACGCCGCGCGGTGGGGACTCGGCGGCGGGTTGAACGGGATTTTTCGGCGGGTGTAGATTTCCTCCGTCACGAATGGCTTGACCGCCTCGCGGAGGATCCATTTTTCGGTCAAAGTCCACTTGTTGGGCCCGTCTCCCGCGATGGGCATCATTTTCACGGACCTGAGATAAATTCGAAACAGTCAATAACTGTTGAGGCGCCAACGAATGATGAGATCCGCACGGTGGCAAGGTGTTCACGTATTCGACTAGGTGGTGATCGAGGAACGCAACTCGGCTTTCAACAGAATTCGTCATGTCGTTGCGATCACCGGCTTGGTTCAAAATGATTTTTCCGAGCAGGGATTTGGCGGTGATGTACTGCAGTACGACCGGGCTTCCAGCGACTCGTTCGGGAGAGAAAGTTACAAGACATACCAGAGACACATTCAAACTGTGCCAGGTGCTGGAGAGGGAGTGCTGCCGAACACGAGGATCGAGCCCTTCAGCAACGCACCGCGCAATCTCGGGAGTGCCTGCAGCGGCGAGGACAGAGGGGTGGAACATCGGGTGGTAGAACGGAGTGGGTGTGGCGACGACGTGGTGGGCGCTGACTTTAACTAGGCTGGAGTCTTTAACATCCATCACCATGGTCGACATTTCCGGGACACCCGCCGATGCCTCGAGTGCAGTGATCATATCGCGGCGCTCGGCGTCCGAGGGAACATTTATTCCGAGGCTGGCAGCTGCAATATCTGGGTTCCGCAGATAATCGAGGCGAAACCACCCATATCCGGCAAATATTTCGTCGGAGCCCTCGCCGGATAGCGCAACCTGAGGTCGGGGATTAATGTCAAGGATATTAGGGATGAAAATACGCAACCTTGTAGCCATGGTGGCGAACGGCGTTGGACAAGAGTATCTTGCCTGCGCCATGGAAGGTGGTGTTCGGCTGCTCAGAATGCCAAATAGCCTCTTCGAGGACATCAACCAATGCGGCTTCGGTTGCTTTGACCTTATGTATTTCAGCCCCAATATGAGCGGCAGTCCGCCCTGCAATTGGAGATTCGTCCGTTGTTTCGTCCTCTGCAAATGTTACATAAAGACAAGCCGATGAAGTCAAAGTAGATTTCAGCCTCACCGGTATAAGCCAACGTGAATGCGGTCACTTTCGCGTTTGGGTCTCGTTCGCGCAGAATATGAGTGGCGATCCCAGCCACACAGGAGCTGTCAATGCCTCCACTGAGGTAGACTGCCAGTGGGACATCCGAACGAAGCCGCAGTTGGACCGAGTCGATCAGAAGTCTTCGGACATTAGACACCATCGACTCAATTGTCTCTGTGGGAGGAGCAGTCGCCAGTGGATACGAGAGGTCCCAGTACCTCTCGGTTCTGATGTTCCCAGAGGGACCGCAGAGCGCAAGGTGGCCCGCCGCCAACTGGATCTAGTGAGCCAAGCGAACTCGTAGTAACAGGCTGTCGAACCGAAGTCATACCTTAAAAACGCCCTTGAACACGGTGCGTTCGTCCCCGAGATCTCCGCTGTGAACAATGCTGTCGATATCCCATTCGGCACTCCATCCTAGCCCCATGAACGCCTTCATCTCGCTGGCGAACAGAATTCGGCCATTTGAGATTGTATAGTACAGTGGCTTGATCCCAAACCGATCTCGCGCCGCGAACAGGAGCCGTCGTTCGACGTCGTATAGGACGAACGCGAACTCGCCGCGCAAGCTGAAAAGGAGGTTAATTCCGTCGCGTTTGTACCTTGACATCCTAGTGAGCGACTCGACATGAGTTGCGCCTCAACCACATACAGTTGTACAACCAGCTCAGAGTCTGATTTGGACTTAAATGAAAATCCTTCCTTTTTCATGTCGGCACGAATGCGTTGGTGGTCATAGATCTCCCCAGTTACAACGCAATGAATCAGCCCATTCTCATCGGACATGGGTTGCTGGCCAGTTGCGAGATCGATTATCGACATTCTCACATGTCCTAGACCTACAATGAAAAGCATAAATTATCCGGAACTATACGTGCAATGGAGTTACTGACCGCATCTGGTGAAATATAGGTTCCCCGCGAATCAGGACCACGGTGCTTGATGATCTTGAGCGAGGCTTCAAGCGAGGTCTGGAGGTTGTTGACTGACGGCCTAGCCACCGCGTCTGGATGAAAAACAGCTGTAAGACCACACATCCGTGCTGGGGAGTAATGCAGAAAGCCTGCGGCGTCCGCTGTATTTATATGTTCACCTACAGCTGATGAGAACAGCCATCGACACCGAGTAGCACCCGACGGCGCTGACTAGCCTAAGGGTCAGGTCAGATGACGGGAAATTGCTCGCCCCTTTGGCTCGCCGACGGAGTATTCCTGTCTGGAAAAGGCGGCCCGTCCGCGGAAAAGGAATTTCCGACGCCATCAGGGCACGAGAACGGTATATATTTAAGTATCCAGAGTATGAAGGATTACGCAAACTGAATGACCGAAGTGCCTTGCTGTGCGGAGTGTACCAGTGAACCCACAATCACAGTCCAATAATACCTTCAACTAGCCCAGGCTGCGAATGGTAGAAATCGAGGACTGTATTTCCATCAGTATGACAGGAATGAAGATGTCACTGCAGCGGACTTACCAACAACGCCGAAGTGCTTCCCTTTATGTTCCTTGAGCCACAGAAGCAGACGTCCGTTCATACCTTTCGTCGACGCGTCGCCTAAAGCGATAATCTGCATGCAGATTGTCTAAGATAAATCGGGAGGGAGATGAAGCTGCATACGTTCGGGGTGACCGGCACATCGTCAGCGTTCGCATGCGCGCTTGCAAAAGATATATAGAGAGAGCTTCCTTCTCCTCCTCTGCTCCGGCGCTGCTAGTATCCACGTTGGATTTATATACTCTGGTTTCCAGGCGCGCGCGTTCGGGCCCGAGTCCTTCTCTGTGCGCCGGACTCGAAGCCCCGCGCCCGCGCCGTGCGAGATGCACCGGAAGCGAGGCGCTCGCGTGCTCGCGCGAATCGCCGCGGGCGGGAGGCGCTGCATTCCTCCGCGAGAAGCGCGCCATGGCAATTGCCGCCGGCAGCTCCAAAGCCGGGCTATCGAGGAAGTGCGGATTTGGGGGCGCACGACTTGGCGCTGAAAGGGGGGAGGCCGGTGTGCTCGAGGCCGCTGATGTCGGGTCGAGGCGGGGCACGGTTGCGCTGTCGAGGAGGCACTGCGTTCGCCCGCAAGGAGCGCGCCACAGGAATTGCCGCCGGCAGCTCCAAAGCGGACGTGAATGCGCACCTTTGGCGCTATCGAGGAGGTGCGGTGCGGCGCGCACGACTCGAGCAATGATGCGATGTGCAAGGGGGAATGGGTAGGGGATTGCGTCTGCGGCTGCGGACAGCGCGAGTCGACGCGTTAGGGCGGGCGGCGCGCAAGACGCGAGGCTGGAACACGCGTGGACCACAGCAACGCAGCCGCAATGACGACACGCGCGGGGGGCCACGCGAAAACCCGCCTCGAGTGTCCTCCAAGCCGTGCGGCGTTCTCGGGATAGCGGGGCGAGGTCGACTCGGTCAAGACTCGATGCACGCGCAACGTAGAGGCCCGAGGCTCCGAATCGCCTGCGGGCGTCAGCTGCTGTGGAGAGATTAGAGTACGAATGAGGAGGCTATCGGGCACGCAGCTGGATTGCAGTCGCGGCCTTAACGTGGTAGTATGCGGCAGCTAGAGCATGCGCACCAGCACGCCGATGCCACACCCGAGCACCAAGGCGACCGCGCGGCCCTCCCAAGGCCCGAGCGCCATCAGCGCCACGTGCAGGAGGAACGAGCACGATGCACGATGAACAGGACATCACCGCGGCGCGTTGTGCCCTCCTCGACGCGGGCGCCGGTGTGAAGGGCGACGAGGTCAGGCGCATGTGCGCGTGCGCGATGGACGCAGCGTCCTCGCTGTGGGGGGCAGAGCCGAAGACAAGGGCGGGGCGGAAGGCGGGGATCAGCTCCTCGAAGTTAATCGCCTTCGCGGCGGTGAAGGGGGACGAGGTCAGGATGGGGCGCATGTGGGCGTGCACGATGGGCGCCGCGGCGGCGTCGGTGGGGTTCGTCAGCTGGGCATTTATCTGCCATGTGGCTGTGCAGCTATCTGCCATCCACCCATTGCTCTCGATACAAACCTCCTAAAATCATCGGAATATTTGAGCACAAGTATAAAAGAATATAGATTGATTCTGCATGCTCAGATTTGTGAATTGTGGCATACAAAGGCTGATAAAGCCCAATGGCAGATAACTATGTGACATGGCAGATAACTCGTCATGGTCAGGTGGCTGATGTGACCTGCCATCAAAACTATCATCGGCGTCCTCTTCATTGCT